AAGGAGTGGGAAAAGGAGCGGGAAAAGGGGTGGGAGGAGGACCGGGAGCAGGTGCGGGAGAAGGAGCGGGAGGGGAAATGCGAAGGGGCGGAGAAGCCGCGGGGGAAGGAGCTGGAGAAGGAGGAGCGGCAGGGGAAAGGGGAAGGGGGTTGGGAGAAACGGGAAGGGGATTGGGAGCGGGAGAAAAAGCACGAGGAGAAACGGGAAGGGGCGGAGGAGACGCGGGAGGAGGGGTGGTAGAAGGAGCCGGGGGGCGGTAGAAGGAGCGGGAGGGGGAGTTCGTCGTGTCGTTTCACACCAGCACAGTGGAGCGGGAGGGGAAACGGGGAGGGGGTTAACGAACACGCGGGAGCCGGAGGAGGGGGAGGAGATATAGGTGGAGGAGGAGAAGCGGGAGGAGCACGAGGACGAGCGGGAGAAGGAGCGGCAGGAGGAACCGGGGAAAGAGCAGGGGAAGCAGCGGGAGAGGGAGAAGCAGCAGGGGCGAGAGCGGGAGAAGGAGGAGGAGGAGAGGGAGGAGCAGCAGGAGAACGAGCGGGAACGGGGCTATGGCGGGATCTTTGCCACGTTGTTTGGCGGAGGAGGAGCGGGAGAGGGAGGAGGAGGAGTGCCTTTTTTCGCAATCAAACATAAATGCTCTTTTTTTCAATCGCGCGCTCTTGCACCACCACGCCTCTCATCGCCACGACGGGCCCACTTGTATCAGTAAAAAATAAGATAAAAGAAGGGAAACCAGACACAACCAGACAAGTGTAAGAACCAATCCAGGTGTATTGAAGTTCGAGGCAGGCAGCAAGCAAGAAAAAAAAAAAGAGTCCTATTGTATATTGAAGTTTAAAAAATTCTGAAAATCGTTATTCCTGAAGCAGCGATATCCAGAGTTTGAAAAAAAAAAAAAAAAAAAAAAAACGGAGCAGAATCATCCCATCCACGCTAGATTAGACAAAGGATAATTAGTGGTGGTCTTACCTGGTGGGACCAGCGGAGGGGTTCCTATGCTGTGTTCCATCATTGACGATTACCTTATGCAAGGGTTGTTGCCCCTCTCTGTTTTGATGGGCCCCTTGTTTAGAGTCTTCTTTCCCCTTGGTTTCGGGAAGACATGCACCTCTTGTATGATGATGAGATCTGGTGCTGTAAAGCCAGGGCCCACTCCTGCAGAACAGGTTGAAGTGGAACGCCGCCAGGCTGAAAAGAAGAAAGAGAAAGAAGAAAGAAAAAAACAGAAGGAAGAAGAAATAAAAAAGAAAGTGCAGATGGAAGAGGAAATGAAGGAAAAGTTAGAAAGGGAGTTGAAAGAAGAACTGCAGACTATAAAGAAGAAGAAAAGTCCGATGATGGAGGAGAAAGGCTCATCAGACGGCGGACAGAAAGGGGAGAAACTAGCCAGACAGGTGGGGAACTTCATGTAAAACCACTAGACTGGTTTGATCAATATGCATATTCCAGCGATCGTATTGAAGAGACAGAGGAAGAAAGGGATGTGTTCATTGCAAAGTTGACAACCATTGCAGACCAAAGAGAAAAAGATCTGCTTGAGGAAAAGCGTGCGGAACTGCATAATAAGATGTTAGCAGCGAAACGACAAAAACTTGATGAAAGGAAAAGACTGCAAGCAGAGGGTGCAAGATTACAAAAATGCTGCAAGATCAAAAGGAAAAACAAACTGCAACTAAAGAAAAACTTGCCCTTTTGACAGAAATCGTCCTTCATACGAAACAAGAGTTAGCAGCGATGAACATAACTCTGCAAAAGGTTGAAACCCACCAGTATGAGTTTGAGGGAGTCTGGAATACCTTTCTGCAGAAATCCGCCAAGGATGTTGATCAACACATACAATCATATATTCAGAAATTAGATAATCACATCACCCAAACCTTTACGCCCGTTGTAATTGATAAGATAGTTCGTGGCAGCGGCGGAGGAGGAGGAGATGGAGACGGAGACGGGGGAGATGGTGACAAGAAAGGAAAGGGTGTGCTGCGAAATGACACGGGGGATGTAAGAAAGATTAAAGTTAAAGTGTCGTGGACATACACCGGCAAGAGAGAGGAGAGTGTCCTACATTGGATTGCGGTCGTAGAGTCATATGTATACGGTCAGCGCATCCCGTATTGGGATAGAGTTTTGATGGCCACCTCGTGTATGGACGGCGATGCGATGAGCTTCGCCATATCGTTGCAAAAAGAAGCGAACTTCCAGACCATGATCGAGTATTCACAGCAAAGAAGAATCGAAGACTTCTTTAAGGCTGTTAGAGAACGATTCAAAGATAAGAATCTGGCTCACCGAACAGAAATGCTGATTTTAAATATTGCAGATCGGAAATGGAAGAGTGCATCTGCACTCAAAGCAACGATGAACGAACTCTTACAATGCGTTGAACATGGACTCACTCCTACCCAGATCCTCAATAACTTCGCTAGGGCACTGCCCGACCCTCTCCGTACTCAGTTTTATCCCCACACAAAGGAAGAGGGGATGACATACGAGAAGTTCAGCAAGATCGCTATAGATCATGCTGGCTTCTTAGCCGAGGCTAATTATTGCCATTACTGGAAAGATCTGCAAGCGGGTAAGAAATGGCAAAACCGCACCATCTCAGGGAACATACCTGGGAAAGACAATCTCCTTCTTACCTTTGACGAAGGAGGTGTAAGAAGGAGGTGTCGAAACTCTCTCTTACGACCAGATAGATTATGGTCTGGAGGGAGGACCCAACGACACAGTAGTTCAGGAGGGGGACTACGTGGTCGTTGTAGCCCGCGGGGGAGAGCGACAAGGAAGAGGCCGTGGCCGAGGAAAAGGAGGCCGCGAATGTGGTGGAAGAAGACCCAGTACCCAGAGGGGTGGTGGCAAAGGTAGCTACTACGTGGGTGGAAGGGGCAATGGTCCCTCGCAAGGTGGCCGTGGTTCGTATTCTACCTGGGGAAGAGGAAGAGGCGCATGGTATGGTACATGGGACAAACCATATCCGCCCCATCCAGGTTTGCCTGAAGGAGAGCCTTTGAAGAAACTGGGGATTACAAAAAAAGTTTGGCAGGACAGAAAGGCCGCCGATCAATGCCTCAAATGTGGTGACCCCAACCACATTGTTCCCTTCTGTCCCCACTACAAACAACCAAAAGGGAACAACCAGTAGGGGTTTCAGTTGCCTCTATCGGAACTCCGAATGTAAACAGAAAGACATCCTCTCATCCGAAGGTTCCTCAGGCAGAAACTGAAAAGACAGACAGTCCCCACCTAGTACACTGTCCAGAGGTAGTAAGTGTGCGTACCTCTCTAGGTGGATCCCTCGCTGGCATGGGTGATGAGTTGGCCGCTCGTCGCCAAGCCTGGACTGAAATGAAGAAACGTAAAGGACAGTTAATAATTGCAGATCTAGAGATAAATAAAGTAAGAGTTGGAGGAATGATTGACAGTGGGTCAACGCGCAACTATATCAGTAAGAAAGGATTGCAAAAGCTGCGACTCGGGCTAAAGGTTAAACAGTTAGATGAGCCCGTAATGAGTAAGCTAGCTAATAGTACTATAATTGTGATGGATAGATATGTTGAAGGGGTCCAGATATAATTCCGGCTCGAAGCAGAGGGGAAGGTGGAACGCGTTCTCCACTCTCTGACTCTCTTGGTGGAAGATAATCTTCCTTTTGACATTCTT